TGTAAAGAGGAAGATGCCCATTTGGGAAACAAGTATCTACTGCAGAGGGATGTTATGGGGAGAGGAAGAGAAGGGAGTAGAGGCTTAAAAGAAAAGTAGGGGGGCCAGCCCCATGGCCGAGTGGTTAAGTTCTTGCACTCCACTTTGGCGGCCCAGGGTTTCGCTGGTTTGGATCCTGGGTGAAGACATGGCACCACTCATCAGGCCACATTGAGGCAGCGTCCCACATGCCACAACTGGAAAGACACACAGCTAAAATGTACAGCTGTGTGCTGGGGGGATTTGGGGAGAAAAAGCAAAAAAAAAAAATGAAGAAGATTGCCAACATTTGTTAGTTCAGGTGCCAATCTTTTAAAAAAGCCAAAAAAGAAAAGAAAAGAAAAGAAAAGAAAAGTAGGGCCAGTACGAGACAGCCTTGCCCAGTTCCCCACCCCCTCAAGCCTGTCCTTCTAGTCTCATCATATCTGGCACTCTGCTCCAACCTCTCTCTCAGCTCTGGGCCTTTGCACGTGCTGTCCCCTCTGCCTGGGAATCCTCGCTGTCCTTTGCCTGGTGAACCCCTACTCATTCTCCATGAAGGGATCCCTGAGTCCCCAGAGCGGGTGCTCCTCCCACATGCCCAACGGGCCCAGCACGCCCCCATTTATGCATTTTCACACTGAGTCATACCTGCCCGCTGAGGGGTCTCACTTTTCCAGGAGACCATGGCCATGGACCACAATGGGATTTGCTCACCTTTACGTCCTCTGAGCCTGACACAGAGTAGGTGCTAAAACAGATGAGTCCATGAACAAATGCTTGCCGGGATTTGGATCCCTAAGAGGTGTAGGAAGAGAGTGACAAGATAAGATTCACATTTTAGGAAGATGACTGACTCAGTGTGGGTTGGGGGTGGGGAGATTGGAGGAGGGTAACAGCTAAGAGGCTACTGTAATAGTCCAAGCAGGGGCAAGAGAGAGGCGAGGAAGAAAAGAACCAGGGTGCCAAGTGCTGAGAGTGAGAGGAGGAGCAATTTTTGGAAGGGACATCAACAGTGGCCCTGGGGGTGATAAGAAAGAGGGAGTAGAGGGCGGGGCCCAACTTTCCCTCTATTATCTTGTGTCCTTCCCTCTGTCCTGCCCGTGGACAGATACCACATCCTCAGATACAATATAGCACAGTGGTTACGGGTACAGGCTTTGGAGCCCCGACTCTGGGTTCAAATTCTATTTCTACCACACACTTGCTATGTGACATTGGGGCCAGTTCACTCAACCTGTTTGCTCCTCAGTTTACCCATCTGTAAGGCAAAGATGATAACCGAGAATTAGTTACTGCATTTCACTGATTCTAAGATTCCCATTTTAACTTTTCTGAAATCAGGGTGTCTTATAATCAACGGCATGTCATAGATTAATTGGCAGCATTCTTTAATGGGACAAAAATAATGGTATATCTGAAGACCAATGGAGCCTTAGATTTGATGAAAAACAAAAACACGTGGTGAGACCAGTACCTGGCATGTTGTAAGGGCTGAATAAATGTTAGCTGTTTTATTACTGTCATTATTTGCTTTCTGGAATATTGTTCGTCATACAAGGTAACAAACACCCCATCGGAATAAAGAGACAACTATAATCTGGAGCTAAAAGACCTAATTCATAAATAGACATAAGGGTGAAAAAATTTTAGTAATTTCCCCCAAAAAAACACCCAAAGCCTGATGCTTTCTCTGAAAGATCCCATAGAATTCTGCCAAAGTTCCAGAGAAACTTTAGAAATTCCTCCTTTACGATGGGGACCAGAGATTCTGGCTCCCTGACCGGCAGGGGGAAGCAGGGCATGTCCCCGCATGACTTCGGGGCTGTTCCCTGTGTCCTTGTGAATTTCCCTGAGTCACCATTACTCACTGCCCACAATCGGGCTCTGCTACCTTTCAACCAGGAGACCGATGCCCTGGGATCAAGGGCCAACCTCAAACAGAAATGCGATTGTGGAATGTTCAGCACGGGCCGTAGACTGTCTCCGGCTCTGGGGAGCAGGGTGACCCTCGCCAGCGTCTTATTTTTGGCCTCCCGGGTTGGGTTCCTGCCTACTGACTTGGCAAATCCCGGGCGACTCGCCTTGTTTTCTCTCCTCACTTAAATACATGTCTGGAAAAAGCCTCCACCCCCACAGGCCCTGCTGTGTGTGGAAACGGTGACGGGCCTGGAGGAGGAGAAGCGAGGCGGCTGGCTCGAGAGCCTCCCTCTGTGTGAGGGGGAGCAGAGTTGGCTCAGGCTGGCGCTCTTAGGCCCAGCTGCTGGGGTCAGTGACACTCCCAGGGACCAGGCCTCTGTGCCTTCAGGCTCAGCCAGCGCCCCCACTCCAGCCCTTCTTCTCTCCTGCTCTGTCTGTGTTGACAAGAGACCATCTCGGCCACCCTCACTGTCAGGCTCACACATCTCTGGTGAGAGGGGCAGGTTCGCTCCTGGGTTGGGCGGCTGTGAGCCTGAAACCCAAGAAGCTGGCCCGCAGAGGCATGTGCACGTGTTGAACGGCAAGGGGCTGGATGGAAGGAGCTCAGGGCCCCCAGCCAAGGTGCCTGCTCCTGCCAGCTCTCAGCGGAACAGGAGGCAGGACAAGTGTGCCCACGACAGCCTTCCAGGGAAAACGAGGGGCCAAGCGGTCAGTGGTGGGTCTCTTGGGAGGCCCTTTGGACACGACAACTGCCCTCTCTCATGGCCTCCAGACATCAGGCCACTTCTTCCAGTGCCAGAGCTCACCCCTGCTGCCCTCAGTCTGATGGCGTCTTCATCCCAGAATGCTAAGTCTCCAGCAGATCGGTCCATTCATGAGTTCTGCGGAGCCTCTTGTCCGGGCTGGGGTGGACACCGGGACAGTTTCCAAGCCTCAGGACACCCTACCCCACCCCACCCCTCCATTTGCCCTGGGAGGGGGGAACTGACAAAGAGGAATGTGGGGCTCCCCATTCCCCAGCCCGAGAGTCACAGGAGTCCAGAAAAACAGGGGCGGCATCGAGAGGGGCTGGACGTGATGCCCCCTCTCCCTCAGCTCCACCAGGCTTTGATAGGAACCATCCTTATTTCACGTGAGGGCGCTCTGCAAATGCAGTTTCCAGCCTCTGCCCACATGGAGAGCACGGCTCCCCACCTTCCCCGCTCCATGTCAGGTCTAAGAGCTGTCTCCTTGTCTGTCTCGTTCACTACAGCGTGACTTCCTGAAGGCAGGGTTTTGTCTAATTCATCCTTGATTGCACAGCGTGGGCACAGAGGAGGCATGCCCTGGGCACGGTGGAATGAAAACTCTGTGTGGTACCTCGTTGTTGCCTGTGTCAGCCTGCGGGGACCGGCATTACCATTCCCATGTATCCTCCCCGTTAAAAGACGAGCAGACTGAGGCCCAGGGAGTTTAAGAGCCTTGTCTGGGGCCACACAGTTAACAAGTAGCAGACCTGGGCCTTTAACCACAGTCTGTGAAACTCCAGAGCATTCACTCCCGTGCTTAGAAGGTGCCTGATAAAGCCCCTGGCACACAATGGGTGCTTAATAAACAGGGGCTGTTGTGATAAACAATCCTGATCTCCTTGAGGTTGCATTTTAGTTCCCCTTTTAAAGATAAGAAATGGAGGCCCAGAGAGGTTCCATAACTTGCCCAAGACCACACAGTTACTAAGTGGTGGAGCCAGGGCGGGTTTGCACCCGAGTCTTATCTGACTTTACAAGCCATGCTCAAACCACTGCACACACTCTCCTTTTGGGGAATGCTGCAGGCCCTGCTCAACTGCGCCCCAACAGTCAATGATGTTCTCTTCCTGCAGGGCCCCATATCTGGAATTTTCTCTCGCTTGTCTCTTCCTCCTGGGCAGCACCTGGGCTTTTGACTCAGCTTCCCCAGAGCGGGCCCTCCTCCAGCCAGCACCCCAGCGCAGGCCGCCTCTCTACTTGGCCCTCAGTCATGCCTCGAGGCCCTTCTCCCAAAGCTCTTTCAACACAGCCAAACAGTCCTGGCTTTGAACTTCTCAACAACAATTTCTTCGTCAAAGGTGACCTTTGGAGAGATGTCAGGAGCAAGATAACAGCAGTGACAGGCCACCGTGAAGGGTGACACGTGGCACGAGGGGATCAGACTGCCTGGTGAGTGCCTTGTTTCCTCCTCGGCGGCAATCCCACTTCTGAATACACATCCAAAAGAGTTTAAAGGTGGGTGTTGAAGAAATATTTGCACACCCGTGTTCATTGCAGTGTTATCCACAATTCCACTGAGAGAGGAAGCAATCCAAATGCCCATCGAGGATAATGGATAAACAAAACGTGGTATATACACACAATGGAATATTACTCAGCCTTAAAAAGGAAGGAAATCCCGTCACATGCCACAACATAGATGAACCTCGAGGACGTTATGCGAAGTGAAATAAGCCAGACCCAAAAGGACAAATTCCGCATAATCACACTTATAGGAAATATCTAAAGTGGTCAAGTTCACAGAAACAGAAAGTAGAAGAGTGGTTACCAGAGACTAGGGGGAGGGGAAAATGGGGAATTGTTGTTTAATGGGTATAGAGTTTCAGTTTTGCAACATAAAAATGTTCTAGAGAGTCATTGCATAACAGTGTGGATACGCTTAACACTACTCAACTGTATGGTTAAAAATGGTGAAGAGGGTAAATTTTACGTGTTTTTACCATAATTAAAAATAAATGTATAAAAGGGGGGAAGCTTGTTGATTTCCTCACTTTGGAGGTATTTATAAGACGGACCAAGCTGGTCACTCCGTGTACACTATTTCCTTCAACTCTCGCCATGACTTACCGCGGTGGGTTTCAGTATCTCTTTCTCACAGCCTGGGAACTTGCAGCCCAGTGAGAGAAACTGACTCAGCCACAGTCTCAAGGAACTTAGCGAGGGGAAGAGGCGCCATTTGTACTCAGGTTTGTCTACCTCCAAAGTGGGGTCTCTTGCTGGCCCTGGCCCCACCCCCTCACCCCCTCCATCCCCCCCCCCCCGACCCCCCGGCTGAACGTGTCCTGATTCCAGCACCCAATCACTGACAGAAACAAAACAGACTTCTGGTGTGAGCGCTCCATTTCCCCCAGTTGAGTGTAAGTTCCTTGGTGACGAGCCATATGCGTCTTCTATGTCTTGACTTGCTGGGGGAATTAAGTTGAGGTACTAGGCACACAGAGTCGGTGGGTAACAAGCTCTTGAGAACTAGTGGATTTTTTTAAACTTCGCAAAGCGCCAGAATGGGTTTTCACAGAAAATCCCATTTAAGTCCCTTCAACTCACGAGCATCTTCCCATACATTAACCTATTTGCTCCTGACAGAGTCCCTGGATATAAGAGATCCTTGCCATCTCCATGTTACAGAGGAGGGACATGCTTGAGGTCCCCCAGCTGGGATCACAATTACTGGAAGCAGGCGTCTCAGGACCCCAAAATCTGTGAGGCTTTTGCAGGGGGCCTCGCAAAGCCAGGGCCAGATTCACTCTCTCTCTCCGGGGTCTCTGTTGACCTTGTGCTATGCTCACCTGCTGACTGGGAGGATGAGCCTTGGTCTTCACGGCCAAACAGACTCCGGACAGTCTGGGTGAAGGCTGGAGGTGCCTTTCTTGAGATCAGAGTTGCAGCATCGACGACCCAGCCAAGTGCCATGTGTCAGCAGCTGAAACGCTAGGATGATCCCAGCCCCGGGAAAGGCTGGTCAGAAGGGGGCGGGCCGCAGTCCAGCTGAGCAGGGAGGCCTGGCAGCTGGCACCCGGCTGGGAGGCGTGGGAGATAGCCAAGGCCACTACAGCAATATCAGCCGGCGGGGTCTGCCGCCCAGGGGTCAGAGATTTGCCCAGAGGGGCCAGACTGGGCGCAGCGGAGGACCAAGGCTGCTCGCTCTCTGCCCTACTCCCACCCCTGCCAAGTGTGGGCAGCCACGAGACCAGGGATTCCAGCCCTGGGGCAAGGGTGGTGCGCAGCTGCAGGTGGGGACAGTGGGATGGCCACCCAGTGGCCAACCACTTTGGATTGGTTTTTTCATTATGACCTGTCTTCCCTTGATTACAAAAGTATGTTGTATGCAAAATAAAAAAGTTGAGGACTACCCAAAAACCCACATAGGCGCAAAATAAAAATCACCCGTACTGCTCTCTCTTTTTGAAATGTACAGAGGATGAGAGGTAAAAATCAAATGCCCTCGTCTCCCAGCTCTGACTCTCCCTTCCCCCATGCGCCCGGAGGTCAGCGGTGTTGGCCGTTTGATAGCGTTTGTTGAGGTTCCTTCTCTCTCCTTCTCCTCCCTTAGGATGGAAGGGTGCAGCAGTTTTTGGAAGGGAAACAAAAACTCGGTCACTGTTTTGACTGACAACATAAATGTCCATTTCACTCTAATTCCTTCTAAATATGTTGGTGATACAGTGCTCTGTCTGGGAAGTGTCCTGGCTCCTCCACTCCAGACACGTCTACCTCCCCCACCTCCGGCCATCCTTACAGCCTCCCCTCAAGGCAGACCAGAGGAGGGTTCTGGGGTTTGGTTTCAAGGCAACTAGCAGGCTTTGCTGTCCTCCAAACGCCTTGCTCTTAGATCACTGAAGCCCCACCATCAGAAAGTCAGACTTTAAACAGAAAACTTCATTTTGCCTGAAAATACCACTTCCTCTTGGGAACTGTGACTCCTGTAAGACTGCAGAATAGAAAGAGAGTTGTAAGTTTCTTTCCTGAGGACATGGTTGTTTTTTTTCTAAATGATATTTATGTGATTTTTTTCCTAATTATAAAAATAACACATTTGTTGTAGAAAAAGAGAAAATCATAAGTAAGAAAAAACAAAACAAAATTTGCTTATAAAATGTCACCCAGAGATAAACACTAGCAACATTATTATATCAAAATCTTCTGAGGTCAGCCAGGTGGCGTAGTGGTTAAGTTCGTGCACTCTGCTTCGGCAGCCTGGGGTTTGCAGGTTTGGATCCCGGGCTCAGACCTACACACTGCTCATCAATCCATGCTGTGGTGGCATCCCACATACAAAACAGAGGAAGATTGGCACAGATGTTAGTTCAACAACAATTTTCCCCAAGCGAAAAGAGCAAGACTGGCAACAGATTTTAGCTCAGGGCAAATCTTCATAAAAAAAAAATCTGGGCCGGCCTGGTGGCGCAGCGGTTAAGCTTGCACGTTCTGCTTCGGCAGCCCAGGGTTCGCCAGTTCGGATCCCAGGTGCGGACATGGTACCATGCTGTGGTAGGCGTCCCACATATTAAGTAGAGGAAGATGGGCATGGATGTTAGGTCAGGGCCAGTCTTCCTCAGCAAAAAGAGGAGGATTGGCAGCAGTTAGCTCAGGACTAATCTCCCAAAAAAAAAAAATTCTATGTAAATTATATATGTATAGATAAATGTATACAAACACATTCATGTACACACATATAAATAATGCCAAATTGGCACTTTCCTTTAATGTTATATCTTGTCATTAAATATTTTTATCACATAAGTCTTAATGCATACATGCACACTGTCACATAAATATACTCAAGTATATTGGGAGTAACTAGTCCCTCCACCGATGGACATTTGAGTTGGTTCTAATTTTTCTCTCCTATATTCAATGCTGCAATGAACATCCTCTTGCAGAAATGCTGCAGGCAGGTTTGAATTATGGGGTTGGGGAGCAGACACAGAAACATCCCCATCTAGGGGCGGGGGCCATTGAGAAGAGAGTCATCCACCAGGGAAACTACAGAACGTGGAGACTGAGGGCACCCCTACCTGCCCAGCTTGCACAACGTGGCCTGCGGCTGGCCCTCATTGAATGGCACATGAGACATGACAGGCAGATGCTGTTTGCTGGCCAGATTAACTGCCTTAGTGCCATCCTCCCTCTATAAAAATAGCTCACATTCTGTGATGGGCAGTTCGCGCTGCTCCCTGTGAGGGCGAGCCACACCCACAGCCCCCACGGGCGCAACCTTGCGCTGCCGGCGCGTAGGAGCCCACACCCTGGCTGCAGCCGCCTGGGCCAAGGTTTGGCCTGACACAAAGGCAGCCATTTACAGGCTGGATATGCAGGAGAAGCGTGTAGGAGGGCAGCCCAGCATTAAAACTCTGCCCAGTGGGGACCTTCGGCATTGGACAGTGGTTCACCAAGCCAGCTCTCTGTCCCAGGGATGCTTGAAAACCAGAGGACCATTAAGTGGGCAGGAGGTGAGGGCCACATGAGGAGAAGGTAGTAGGCAGGAGCCAGGAGGTGGAAGCCAAGAGGCAACAGAGGACATCAGGCGGAGAGCGCCCGTAATCGGGTTTGGTGTGAGCATCCAAGGACTCAGAACAAGCATCCAGTTGTCCCGGAGGGCTGCTCTCTCTCTGAGACCCCCCAAGGTCCTTACATTCCCTGCACAGCCTTACAAGGAAGCCTCATCTCTGGAAGTAACCAGAGTGGGTTGGTCTCCTGTAGCCTGCAGCAGTCTCACAGCACACGCATGCACTGCTCTTTACAGCTTACATGGTGCTTCCCCAGGCATTCTCTCATCACCACAACCCTGGGAGGGAGAGCGGCTTATCCCTATTTTACAGATGAGGAAACTGATGTTCAGAGAGGATACGAGTCTGCTGGCAGGTCCAGGAGCAGAAACTCAGAGCCAGGTTTGCTGACCCCACATCCAGGATGCTCTCACCACACCAAGTGGCCCCCCCTTCCTCCTCACAGATGTCCTCACTGTGCCACAGTACTGCTGTCACTAGCCCTCTCTGTTCAAAGGTGAACTAGCCTTAGTTGGCCTCATGTGTTGCAACTTGTCTACTCAACTCAATGTTGTAATGCATGAAGACTAGGCTCACAGGTTCTCTTGTCCATAGTGCCCAGCGCTTGTGAGCATACAGTAGGTGATCAATAAATGCTGATGGTTCCAAATGCAGTTTTTCAAAATGCAGAGGCCCGCATCCCACCTCAGAGGATAGAATAGGACTCTGGGTGGCTTTGAAACATTCCCCTGGGAGTCTGATCACATTCCAGTTTGAAAATCAGATATACAAGATGCCTATCCAGCCCCCTCAACTCTCAAAAACACGGCCATGAACCAGGAAATAATAAAAATATGTAAATGAGCAACCACTGAATCTTGTAAATTCCATGCACAAAAGCTGAAGCCTGCTCATCTTAAGTAACTGCTCTAGCCTCTCTCTGCTCCTATGTACCCTTACTTTACACACAGTTCTAATGAGGTCGGTCGCTTGGTTTCCAGCCCACAGTTTATTGGAAGCATGCATACGAACAGCTCTGAGAAACTGAGAGCTGAGGGCTTGAGAATTAAGGTCTTAGGATAGTTCCAAATATCAGGATTCATAATAGTGGCCTTGAGGGGCCAGCCCGGTGGTGCAGTGGTTAAGTTCACACATTCCATTTTGGCAGCCCAGGGTCCACCAGTTAGGATCCCGGGTGCGGACGTATGCACTGCTCATCAAGCTATGCTATGGCAGGTGTCCCACATATAAAGTAGAGGAAGATGGGCACAGATGTTAGCTCAGGGCCAATCTTCCTCAGCACAAAAAGAGGAGGATTGGTGGCGAATGTTAGCTCAGTGCTAATCTTTCTCAAAAAAAAAAAGAAAAATAGGGGCCTTGAGTTATCAAGAAAACGTTAAATTACATATAGCAGGAAGATGTACAATTGATTTCAGAAAGAGCTTCTAAAGAAAACCACGTGGGGTGTTTCGAGGGGAGCATTCCATTTATTCTGAAAATCCACCATGTGCTACAAAGGAGCCCAGCCCTCCTCTGAGTGCTCCAGGATTGCCAGTCCTGCCTGCCATGATTGTCTCATCGCACTGCACCGACAGGTCCATCTCTCCAATTTGTGTAGTGTGGAGTAGTTAACAGCGTGAACTCTGCAGCCAGGCTCATCAGGTTCAAATCCCAGCTCTGCCACTTCTGAGCTGTGTGCCCTTGGGCAAGTTACTTAACCTCTCTGTGTTTGTTTCCTCATGTGTCAAATGAGGATACTAATAGTACCCACCTCCGCATCAGGTACATAGAGAGCTTGCATACATGAGTGATGACAGCAGGGGTTGAGTCTTATTCAACTCTGTATTCCCACCTGTCCCCTAGCCCCTTACTCCTCAAAGTGGGGTCCAACAGCAACCGGGAACTTGTTAGGAATGCAGGAGGTCACACCCGGACCTGTTAAATCAGAAGCAGCATCTTAAGATTTTGTGTGCACATTAGAGCGTGAGAAGCCCTCACTGAATACTGCTGAGTGAACAAAACTAGGCATTATTGTACACAGAAGCCCCAGGAGCGACGGAAGGACAGAGAAGGGGGAGCTGGGGGCTAGCTCGCAAGGCAAGGAGAGAAACTGGTGCAAAGGGGAGAGAGTGTGGGAGGCTGGGCATCAGAAGGCCTCGGCTCAGCCCTTCTCCCAGCTGTGCAACCTTGGCCCTCGGCATCCTTACTTCTGAAATGCAGGGGCTAAGGCCCACGTTACAGGGCTGACTGGGACGAGAGCTAAGTACAGAAAGCGCCTGCACGGGGCAAGCCCTCGGGCTGTCCCTACTGCAGACCCACTGCCCCTCACGGAGGCCCTGGGCTCAAAAGCGCATTTTCAGAGCCACTGAGGGTTCAGAAGGGTCACGTGATACCCTCACTGACACGACGTAACACCCCAGCAGGGTCCGGGGGCAGCACCCTTAAGGAAGCACAGCCAAGTAAAAACGTCTGAGCGGTAAGAGACACAATAAAGACTTGAAAGACCCTCGCATCAGGGCAGACCAGATCTGCGGTCAAATCAGTTTATATCAAACTTATTTTCAAAACTCTGGTTTTTAGAGCTTTCAGAATTGCAGATAAGGGGGTGTGAACTTGGATGACAGAGGGGCAGGGGCAGCCCTGGTGGGGACAGTGGGGAGAGTCTGCCAGGCTTGGAGTGGGGGCAGGGGGGCTGGGAGGATATGGGGGTGCTGGGAGTGGAGGGGTGTCCTGTACGGGGGCAGGGCTGAGAGGTTGTTTGCCTGCAGGGGTGAGTCCACAGACGGAAGGAGTGGGCAGAAAGCAAGCCATCAAGGGCCTTGGAGACAGGAGGGAAACTGACACATGGATGGTAGGAAGTCTCCAAGGTTAGGGCCTGAGCAGGAGTGTGACTTAATCAAAGACAGAGTGACAGATGGGTCAGGCTTGCAAACAAACAGGAAGAGGGCATCCTGGAGTCACCCCATGACCCGACTCAAATTTCCCAGCCTGGAAGGAACAGTGACCTCACCCCCAATCCCTGCCCACCGTGCTTGGCCCTCACCAAAAACACACGGGAAAAGGTTTTAATACTCTCTCAGGAAGCCAGGGACAGCCCATAGGGTCTCATTGATTACATAGGCACACATAGAATTATCATACTATTAACAAAAACAAACATAAGAGTTCTACTTCGTGCTGGGTGCCTTGAACATGCCTCTAACTCTTACTGCAGCCCCATAAAGTATGAACTATTGTTCCATTTTACAGAGGAGGACATTGAGGCTCAGGTCACCTTAGAAAGTCCAGGGTTGCAAGGTTGGTTCATTTAACACCAGTGCCTGAGCGCCTTCCATCAAACCGCATGCTCACTGGACGACTGAGGCCAAGGTGTGAAAGGGACAAGTTGGAGGGCTGAGATCTGGGCGAGACAGCATGTCCTGCTGCCTCAGAGACCCCTGGTTCAGACTTTGGCTCTGCCCTTAACCTTCCTGAACCCCCAATATGTCGTGGATGTACATGGCTCTTGCAAACCCAAGTCGGGATTTGTTCTCTATCCACTCTGACAAACTTTATCTTTTAACAGGACCATTTAGTCCATCTATATTTAACGTAATTATGAATATATTTGGGACTGAATCTACTCTGTGCTTTTTATTCGTTCTATCTGTTCTATGTTCCTTTTTCTCTCCTCTATTTTCCCCTTCTTTTGAATTTACTATTTTTTCCCCATTGAATGTTTCCCTCTGCTAGTTTGGAGATTATGCCTCTTTGTTTGTTTGGCCCTGCCCTCAATATTTTGAGGGTTATGCAAGATATATGTATATGAAAGTGCTTTGTACCACTACTCTGATAGCTTGAGATGATCTTATGAAAATAAGAGCTTCAGAGACAGACAGGCTGGATTGGAACCCTGGCTGTAGAATTTTCTAGCTACATGCTCCTTGCTAGCTGCTTTTCCCTGAGTCTCAGTTTCTCTGTCTGTAAAATGAGGGTGATGAAATACAGTTTACTGTGACACTTTAGTGAGCTAAGGGACGCCAAGTGCCCTGCCCAGGGCTTGGCACAGAGAAGGGGCTCAATGTCCTCTCTCGTCTCTGGCCTTTGCCTCTCTTCGTCCCGGAAGAATTGGCCCCTGATGGAGGCTGCTCAAGAGCCTGGCTGCACAGCCGGGCTTGACCGTAGAAAACCTTCCCAGAAAGAATCCCTCTGGAAGGAGACGTTCCCAGGGTGCAGCCAGTCTGCAGCATCATCAGTGGACGGTGCGGCCCGAGTCTGGGAAGTGGGAGGCTGTTGGGAAATTCTGCTGAAATGCGGGCGGGGGAGTTGTATTGATCAGTATCCAAGGGAGCCCAGGGCAGGAGGGCCGGTTCCCCAATAGTGTGTGTGTCTCCAGCCCAGCCAGGGAAGCAAGCGACAGCCTCTCCTCCTGGGAGGCAGGTGTGTCCTCTTGGAGAGCAGAGCAGTGACTCACCAGACCGCCACAGCTCGTTATAAATATCCCCTGAGACGCCTAACTCCCTCGGCCCTGATTCTATATTAGCACAAGCGGCGCTCCATAATTCCATCATTAATTAGGTTTCCTAGGCGCCTTGAGACCGGGAGAGGGTGTCCCAACCTGTGAACGCAAAGATCATGAACTACACGGCCAGTCTCCCCTGCCCTCACTATGAATCAAAAAATAAGTTCTCCTTCTATTTACTTAGCTACAAATCAGCACTAGGGGAATTTTGAGAAGTGTGGGCCAGCCAAACGGCCCCTATTCAAATAGTTCTAAAATGTCTTGATGGACCCAGTAACCTAAAACAACCTCTCTCTCATTTACCTAACTCACTTGGGGAAACTGAGGCCCAGAGAGGGAAAAGAGCACCCGGACCTCAGAATGAGACAAGGAGTGGCTGGGTGGGAACTCGGGGCTCCCCCTCTCTCTTGCTTCAACTCGGTTTGTTGTTCAACTTGCTCATCTGTGAGCAGAGGTAACAGTACCTGCTCTGAAGACAGTCAGAGGACCTGCATGCAAGAGAGGGTGAAGGGGGGGTGTACTGGGAGCCGAGCACATGGGCTAAAGAAGTATGGGCTCCCTCCTCCTTGTTTTCTCTTCCCAGACCAATATCTCTCATTACACCTGGCACTTGATGGGCACAAAAGTCTCGACAATGTGATTGGAAACTGGATTTTACCGACAGCAACTCTATGCCTTAATAATGACAACAGACACCCTTTACTGAATACCTACTGTGTGCTAGGCACTGTTCTTCACACATTATCTCATTTAATCCTTGAATCCGAGCTGTCCGATATTATAGCTGCTGGTCACATGCGGCTGTTGAGCACTTGGAAAGTGGCTAACTGCAACCAAGGAACTAAATTTTCAATTTAATTTAATTTTGAATTTAAAACCTGATACTCAGGGCCGTCCCCATGGTATAGTGATTAAGTTTGCATGCTCTGCTTTGGCAGCCCAGGGTTCATGGGTTCGGATCCCGGGCACGGACGTACACACCACTCAAGTCACGCTGTGGCAGCATCTCACATACAAAATAGAGGAAGACTGGTGCAGACATTAGCTCAGCGACAATCTTCTTCAAGCAAAAAGAGGAGGATTGGCAACGGATATTAGCTCAGGGCCAATCTTCCTCATCAAAAAAATAAATAAATAAATAAAATACAAAATAAATTTTTAAAAACCTTTGATACTCAATTCAGTTATTGGAAAACTTTTTTTAAAAAACATCAATTGATCTTACTCTCTTTTTTTCCCTTCTTCTTCCCAAAGTCCCCCAGTACATAACTATATATTCTAGTTGTAGGTCCTTCTGGTTGTGTTATGTGGGACGCCACCTCAGCATGGCTTGTTGAGCAGTGCTAGGTCTGCACCCAGGATCCAAACCAGTGAAACCCTGGGCCGCCGAAGCAGAGCGCTCCAACTCAACCATTCGGCCACAGGGCCAGCCCCTGGAAAATTTTTAAGTATGTCTGGAACAACTTGGGTGTGTGAGTCTACTATTTCACCTGTAAATTTTGTGGAAATCTAACTACAGATCAAGTATTTCTGGTGATAATTTAGAGTCCAAATGGAGATGACTGTGAGTGAAAAATTCACACTGATTTCAAAGATTCGGTATAAAAAAATGTAAAATATCTCATTCACAATGTCTTTTATATTGATTAATGCTGAGATGAAAATATTTTGGATATATTGAGTTAAATAAAATATATTATTAAAATTAAGTTTATGTTTCTTTTTATTTTTTTAATGTACCTAGTAGAAAATTTTTAATTATATATGTTTTGGGAAAACTGGCAAAATCTGAATAAAGTCTGTGGTTTAGCTGATAGTAGCGTGCCAATGTGAATTCCTTAGTTTCGGCAAATGTACCTGGTTATGCAAGATGTTAACCTCGGGAGAAGTTGGATGAAAGGTTTGCTGGAACTCTCTGTACGATCTCTGCGATTTTTCTATAAACCTAAAATGATTCCAAAATGAAAATTGTTAAAATAGCCCCCCAATTACAGATGCAATTACCTTATATTTCTACTGGAGAAAAATATAATATTTCTATCGCAAAGCTTAAAACAGTTCTCTAAGAGAGATTACCCTCATCTCATAGATGAGGAAATTGGTGTTCAGAGGGGTAAGAGTGGGATTTTGGACCCTATCCGTTTGGTTCAAAGCCTTGAGCCTTCGGTGGGCTCCTGAGCTTCTACTTGAACTAGCACCTACTGGATCCTTCTGGGAATTCTTCCGAGGGTGCTAGTGCAGGCATGTGCGCCCATTGGTCAGCTGCTCGCTGCGGTGGGTGGGGACGAGGCGGGGAGATGGAGAGCAGAGGCACGGGAATCTGTGGGTTGCTGTGATAATGGGACCGTCCAGGTGGGAGCCAGGCAAGGACTAAGGCCCCGGGACCAAGGGGAGGGGCAGGGCTGAGCTGCTAGGCCTGACGTTTTATTGACGGGCTCTTTCTTTGATCTCTGCCTTGCTTTGGAAAGGATCTCAGGAGCATCTGCAGCTGTCTCAAGGAAACAATCAGCAGGGCTGCTGAAGCCTTAGATGTGCCGGCCCAAAGGGGACAAATAATGGCACCCCAGGGGTAGAGGCAGGGACTTGGGCTCTCCCGGTGTGAGGAAGAGGCAGCAAGGACACTCTGTTTACAACAGGCCTCACTGCACCTCCCTCCTTCTCATTTCAAACAGGAGGACTCTGACCTGATGGAGAAGACAGCCTCTGACCTGCGCCCCAAAGTTCCACCACCGTAAGGCTTGGCCACAACAAGCCGAGGCAATCCCCGTTACTGGCCATTCCTTCTTTGCAGCGGGTCCCGGCGCTGCCCTCTGCTCCCCATCCTGACAGGCCCACAGGAGCCAGCGTCACGCCTCACTGAGATCACGAGCACTGTGCATGGAGTCCAGAGTCCCTGCCTTTCCCCGGGCCTGCCCGCCCCCCCAGCGTGGGAGGCCTCTGGGGGCCGCAGGCTCCCCTGCCAGCAAGGGCACTATGCCACTGGGCTCCCAGGCCAGGGCCAGCCCAGCCGGCAGCGCAGTGTCTGCGGCCAGCTGCCCACCGCCTTCCCACTTCCAGATGCCTCGGCGCGCGCCGGGCGGCCCTGTCCTGACGTGCCCCTTCCCCTCCGCTGCCCTGCCGCGCACTCGCCTCGCGGCGGCCAGATGTGTCGGCTTTGGTGCTGGCGGCCCCTAATGAGGTCCAGATGCGCAGTCTGGCTCGGCCGCGGCGGCTACCAAAGGAGAGGGAGGCCCTGGGAGGAGGGAGCGGCTGCAGCTGGAGGAGGCGGCGCTGCAGGAGGAATGCGCCGGGGAGGATTCCCACTGGAATGCGAGCTCGGGACGTCTCTGCCTAAATAAGGGCCTGGCCGCTCCTCGGGCTGGAGGCCCTGCTCCTCTAGGTGCGGTAGAGCTGCGGATACGCCTTCAGCTGTCCCTCCATTCTTTCCTAACAGTTGTTTCTTTTTCTTTTTTGACCAATTATGAAAATTGTACACAGTGATGAAAGGCAGTTTAGAAAACCCAAATAAGCTAAACAAAGAAAACAAGGAAAGATGGAAATAAAAGTCACCTGTAATCCCAACACCCCAAACACCATTAAAGTTCTGGGATGCATCCTGCCAGACTTTTTTCAAACACAAACATATACGGAAGTTTATTGTTTGTTTAAATCATGCTGCAGAGACTCTCAGATCCTGCGTGTTTTGCTCAGTTTTTTTTTTAAGATTGGCACCTGAGCTAACATCTGTTGCCAATCTTTTTTTTCTTTACTTCTCCCCAAAACCCCCCAGTGCATAGTTGTATAATCTAGTTGTGAGTGCCTCTGGTTGTGCCATGTGGGATGCGGCCTCAGCATGGCCTGATGAGCAGTGCCACATCTGCCCCCAGGATCCAAACTGGGAAACCCCGGGCTGGCAAAGCAGAGCTCTCGAACTTAACCACTCGGCCACCGGCTGGCCCTGCTCAGCTCTGTCTACATGAGGCTGCCATACCAGTGTTTCCCAGACTGGTCCCTCAGAGCACCAGGGCCATTTTGCTATTAATAGGGGAGTCCTTCCCCAGCTGCTTGGGACGCAGTGGCTTATGCCAACTTAAATGGGCTTCCTTCCTGGAGGACTTCTCAGAGTCTTTAATTTGCGAACTCGAGTTCTGAATCATCGAGAGGAGACTGGCGTTTCCTAAACACACTTCACTGTCAAATCCCTTGAGGGATCCTCTTGAGGCTTGGGTCTGGGGAACATCAGGTGAGAAACGCTGTTCTGTGACATTCTTCATCATGGCTGCACAGAAGCCAGTTGCATGTGGACACCACAGTTTATTTCAGCATCCCTCAATGAGTGGACATTATGGTGTTTTCAACTTATTGCTATTGCAAATAACTCTGTGATGACCATTCTGGTACTTCCCCCTTTGTTGTTCAAAAACATTCCGGAAGTAGGACTGTTTTCCATGTGAAAGACATTTTTTTTTGCTGAGGAAGATTCGCCTTGAGCTAACATCTGTTCCCAATCCTCCTCTTTTAGCTTGACGAAGATTTGCCCTGAGCTAACACCTGTGCCAATCTTCCTCAGCTGATAAGTGGTATAGGTCCACACCCAGGAACCAAACCAGGTCGCCAAAGCAGAGCGCCCGAATTTAACCACTAGGCCATGGGGCCGGCCTTGTGAAAGACTTTTTTTTCTTTTTTGATGAGGAAGATTGTCTCTGAGCTAACATCTATGCCAATCTTCCTCCATTTTGTATATGGGACGCCAACACAGCATGGCTTGATGAGTGGTGTGTGTCTGTGTCCGGGATCTGAACCAGCGAACCCCCTGCAGCCGAAGTGGAGTGTGTGGAACAAACCACTACACCACCAGGCTGGACCCATGTGAAAGACAATTTTTGACTCTCAGGTTCTGGGGTCCCGGTGGCTCTTGCCCCAACTCCTCACCCAGCCCTTATTCGGTGGGGGAGGGGTTTATCCCACGACCACAAAAGGGGGCATGGGAGAGGTGGAGGTGGGGTCTGCTTAAGCATTTCTTGAGTGCTTGTATGCATTGGGGCTTGGGGATTATAGTGAAGAATACCTTTTCTTGGGCTATTATTAATAACACTGTAATGAACATCTGTGAACAACTATTATTTTCCAGAGAACTGTTGCAACCAGAGAGTAAAACCACATTTGGGTGGGGAGAACGCTTTACTGGGTCACCCGTGAGGCCAGCCAGCCCCTCAGCACCCCTGGGTGCCTAACAGGGAGAATGAAGCCATATAACCCCTAACACACTGCTATTCAAGGTGCCGAGGGAAGGCTGTTTGATTGGGGTACAAGAAGCACGTCAAAAGCATGGTGCACACCTGGGCAAGCCCGCCATTTCCATCCTCCTCCATACGACTTCCTTTGATCCTCACAACGCCCTGTGAGGCAAGGGGCAGTAGACTTTATAAGTTTATTCCACAGATGAGGACACTGAGACAGGGGCAGGGGACTTGCCCAAGGTCACACAACTAAGTGGAGGAAAGGAACCAGTCCCCGTCAATGCCACTCCACGCCTCTGATCAACATGTCACCTTAACAGCTGCATGCCGCTGTCAGCAAAGAATGCCCCCACTTCTGTACACTGGGCTTTATCCACACGGGACATGGGACCCAGGCCTTCTAATGGGAGGTGGGCGAAAGAGCCCAAAAGGTCTGGAAAGTGAGATGGGCACTTCAAGGCCACTCCTGGTGTAGCCTTTGGTGGTGGTAGTGTGGGGGGGGGGGGCATGCAAAGGGAACTCCTCAAAGAGGAGCACTATGTCCCCACCCAGGCCCCAGGGCAAGGAGCAGGTCTTATTCGCTGTATCCCCAGTGCTGGGCACAAAGCAGGTGCTCCCCGCAGGCTCGGGAACCGAAGACGTCGCCCCCAGCCCCAGGAGAACCTCTCCTATGGCGGTCTGTGTGTGTGGTCTTCTTGGCTCCCCTCACCCTAATCCTGACCTTCTCTTCTCCTCCTCCCCGCTCCTTCTCCTCAACCTCTGTTTGCCCCAGCTCATCCTCCCCACCCCCGACGGTCACTGATAGTCACCGAGAGACTGTCATCAGAGTCACGTCCCTTAGACACCCAGGTCTACAGCTGAGGGGCTCCAACGGAGCCCTGCTTTGACCTTCAAGGGCATCTTCTCACTGGGCTCTTAGCCTTATTTGTGTAGCAGATTTCCTTCGAAAATCTAAGCAAAGACAGGGATCCCAGAAAATGCCCAAATGCGCACGCCCACGCAAAGACCTGCCCTCAGTGTCAGGAGTTTGTGCGCCGACCTCAGAGAGCCCTGGCCAAGAGGGCCTGTTCCTGGCCCGCCCAGCTGGGCACACACTTTCCTGGGGGCGGCTGCTTTCTGTAACCTTCTATCAGCACTGGAACCTCACGTTACCTAGGAAGCTTGCCTCCCACAGAGCTGATGGCTTGTGGAGAACTCACAGGTCCGCTATCCCTTATTCTCAGTTTCAAAAGCCCCAAACCTTGGAAAACTGTATGATAAAACCATTTTTATCATAAGGCTTTTGACGGCAAGGCCTGACCTGACGTGAACTCATCTGGCAGCAAAACCGACCTCAACTGACGTGAGGCTATTTACAGCCTTTATTTACAGCACTTCATATATTCGTAGACTTTGCTCAGAAATGTTTATTGTTTACCAGGTGCTGCCCCGGCCCTGCTGGGGGCATTTTATAACACTGAGTGTAAGTGAACTCCTCGCTCGTCGCACCCTTCTCAACGATGAAAATTCTGAAACCTATCTGGCCCCAATGGTTTTAGGTAAAGGACTGTGGGTCTTTTATAAAATTTCTCCTAAAAAAGTTCACAAGCTTACGAATAAAAGGAGTCAGACACAGAGCAGATAGAAGCTACAATCCTCTTTATATGAAGTTCGAGAGCAGGCAAAGCTAATTGACAGTGGTAGAAATCAGAACAGCAATTACGTCTGGGGAGGAGAATTGAACAGGAGGGAGAGAGGAGGAACCTTCCAGGGCGCTGGAAATGTTCTGTATCCTGATCTGGGTGGAGGTCACACAGGTACATACATATGTAAAAATCCACCAGGCTGTACATTAAAGATTAGTAAAGATCACTTTGCTGTGTCTGTTATACCTCAAAATAAACGTAAAAATAAAATTTATGGGAATACATTATCTCAAATTAAGCAACAAGAAGCTGCTCCCCTTGGCACCCCATCCCACTCTGTGATGTCTTTAACTTCCCAACAAAGCTTAAATTAAGATCATCTTAATATATGTTTGGCTTGCCTTTAATCCCACAAGCCAATGAGTTTAACACAAATGTCAAATTGAGTGAACGTTTTTAAAACTCTGATTTGCCCTCAAAAAGAGACCATCCCTAAGGGCCGGACCCATGGCATAGTGGTTAAGTTTGGCACGCTCTGCTTCAGCAGGCCAGATTCACGAGTTCAGATCCCGGGTGCAGACCAACACCACTCGTCAGCCATGCTGTGCTGGTGACCCACATATGAAATAGAGGAAGATTGGCACAGATCTTAGCTCAGGGCTAATCTTCCTCAGAAGAAAAAAAAAAAGCCCACCTCTAGAGTGTATCTTGGCTTTGAAAGTACTGCACGAAAGCACGCAGGGCCTGGCTCCCTTCAGCGAGAGCCTTTCTACTCACATCACCCATGGGGAAGGATGTTTCCCCATTCTGCTGCCTCTGGCATGGCTGCTCAAAACCTAACAGCCAGGTGGTGAGCACGGTTCCAAGCCTGGCAGCCTACCCTGGTGTTGCAAGTCAGAACTTGCACCCAGCCAACAACATCCTTTAATTGCATCTGATTAGCTGGAATTTGGAATTTGTATCTGAGAACAGAAGGGCACAGGGGACTCCTTGATTAACAGGTCAGATAACCGTATATTGCTAAGAGGAACGAAGAGCTTCATTCCCGTAGGTCTCTCATTGTTCAACATCTGATGGCTCACCACCTTGTCCTTTGACAGTCGCTCCCACAACGTCCCCACCTCCACTTTCCCTCCCACTTCTTACCTTGGCCCTGGAGCTCCGCCCTCTAGGGGCCTCGCTTCCCTCCTAGTGACCGGCTCAGCCCAGGCACCAACCTTCCCACCTCCAGCCAGGGGGCACTGGTCTGATGGCCTTGGGCTGTCCTCAGCTACCTCAGATCCTTTTAGAAACAAGTCAGGGTAAAAACAAACAAACCGACCTACTTGGGCTTTTTCCTCATCTTTCTAGAGCACACTGTCCAATGGAAGTGTCTGTCCTGATGGAAATGGTCTATATCTGTGTTGTGCAATGTGGCAGCCACTAGCTACACCTGGCTATTGAACACGTCATGTGCGGCTAAGTGTGACTTAGGGACTGAATTTTTTATTTCTAAAATATTTAAATTTAGAGCCAGCCCTGATGGCTTAGTGGTTAAAGTTCAGCACTCACCACTTCCGTGGCCCATCTGTCAGCTGCCATGCTGTGGCGGTGGCTCACATAGAAGAACCAGAACCACTTACAACTGGGATATACAACCATGCACTGGGGCTTTAGGAAGGAAAAAAAGAATTTTAATTTTAATTTAATTTAAATGTAAATATGTGGCTAGTGGCCACCATATTGGACAGTGCAGCTCTAGAGAGAGGGAGGGTTGGGGCATAGCACTCCTTGAACCTCCTCAGTGGCCTGGTGGCTCAGGATGCATTCTGCCTGCTCTTTGAAGATACCCAGCCCTCGTGTGTGTCTTCCAGAATAACTGGGAGCCCCTACAATGTATCAGAAATTTTGCAAATGTAACCCAGATATATTGGGTCACCTCGAGGCCTGTGACAGCATTCAAAAGAAGCTCAGCCTTCCAACACAGCTTGGAAAGTAACACAGTAGGTCTTTTCTGAAAAGCACAAAGGGGAAAATACATCCCCGAAGCACGGAGGGACTTATCTTCCTTCCCAAGTCCCACTCCTCAGCACAGCTGCTGTCTTTCTCCTCGCACAGCCCCACAGCCCCACATCCCACACCCCCACACCCATTCCCCCACAGCCCCACACCCCCGCAGCCCACACCCCAATGCCCCACACCCCCATACCCCCACCCCCACAGCCCCACAGCCCACACCCCCACACCCATACCCCCACAGCCCCATACCCCCACAGCCCACACCCCAACACCCCACACCCCATACCCCCACCCCCACAACCCCACAGCCCCACAGCCCACATCCCCACACCCATACCCCCATAGCCCCATACCCCCACAGCCCACACCCCAATGCCCCACACCCCCATACCCCACACCCATACCCCCACAGCCCCATACTCCCATACCCCCATACCCACACCTCCATACCCCCACCCCACAGCCCACACCCCCACACTCATACCCCTACAGCCCCATACTCCCACAGCCCACACCCCAACACCCCACACCTCCATACCCCACCCCCACAACCCCACAGCCCCACAGCCCACACCCCCACACCCATACCCCACAGCCCCACAGCCCACACCCCACACCCACACCCCCACAGCCCCACACCCCAACACCCCCACCCCCACAGCCACACCCCAACACCCCACACCCCTACACCCACACCCAGTAATGGTTCTGCTGGCCTCTTTCCTCCCTCTTCCCCTCATCCTTTCTTATTTAAGGAAACCTGACGCGCTCTGGGCTTTGCCCCGTCTCATCTCACCTGAAACAGCATCCCACAGGCTAGCCTTCTTCCTTTGGCGGGAGAAGACAAAAGAGGCAAACACTTAGCATGTAACTTTTTTATCCTTGTTACACAAAGTCATTGTTATGCCCAGTTTACAGATGAGTAAACTGAGGCACAGAACAGTGAAGGGCACACTGACAGTGAACGGAGAAATCGTGACCCAAGCCCAGGGTTGTGAGAATCCTAGGATAATGAGCGGTCTTTCTGACCTCTCTCAAGACTCACCCTTCCAGGGCGCTCAGCCATCCGCCCCCACTCTGACCGTAAACCGACTGCTGGGGGCTGACTAGCAAACCCAGCCACATCAATTTAACATGCTGGCTAGAGAGTTCCTGGGTTACCCTACCCCCAGGAAATTGTTCATTTTAACCAGGAGATGAAACTTTGACCTCAAAAAGTAACTCAGTGAGGATCTCAAATCCCAGTTTCTCAGCCCAGATTTCAAGGCTCACCAGGGCATGCTGAGCCGCCTCTCCAGTCTCCTCCCGGTTCTGACCAGGCCAACCTGCTCTCCAGCTCATCCTGACTTGGCTGTCCATCCGGCCCACAGGCCAGGCCCTCCCCACTGCTGAATAGCCTGCTGCTCCATTTTTTTTTGTTAACTGTGGTAAAATATAAGTAACATGAAATTTACCATTTTAACCATTTTCATATGTACTGTTCAGTGTCATCAAGCACATTCACATTGTCATGCAACCATCACCACCATCCGTCTCCAGAACTTTTTCATCTTCTCAAACTGAAATTCTGTACCCATTCAACACTAACTTCTTATTCCCCGCTCTCCCCAGCCCCTTCCACCAACCGTTTTATTTTCTGTCCCTATGACTTTGACTACTCTAGGTACTTCATCTAAGTGGAATCATACAATATTTGTCCTTTTGTGTCCGGCTTATGGCACTTAGCATAATATCTTCAAGTTTCATCCATGTTGTAGCACATGTCAGAACTTCATTTTTCAGGCTGAATAACACCCCGTTGTATGTATATACCACATTTTCTTTATCTGTTCATCTGTCAGTAGACACTTGGGCTGTTCCCACCTGTGGCTATTGCGAATAACATTGCTATGATGTACAAATGTTTGATTCCCTGCTTTCCATTCTTTTAGGTGTGTACTCAGAAGCAGGATTGTTGGATCATATGATAACTCTGTCTAATTGTTCCGGAGCCGCTGCTCTACTTTTACTCTTATCCCACGTTCCTGACAGCTTCACCATCAGCCAGCATATTAGCCGTCACACTTAAAAATGTAGGGCTGCAGAAATAAAACTGCACACATTCGGGGAGCTAATCTGCGACCAAGGTGCCAAGAACACACAGTGGAGAAAAGGTGGTCTCTTGAATAAGTGGTGCTGGGAAAACTGGACAGCCACATGCAACAGAATGAAATAGACCGTTATCTCATGCCGTACACAAAAATTAACTCAAAATGGATCAAAGACTTGAAGATAAGTCCTGAAACCATAAAACTCCTGGAAGATAATATAGGTAGTATACTCTTGGACATTGAACTTAAAAGGATCTTTTCGAATACCATGTCTTCTCAGACAAGGGAAACAAAAGAAAAAATAAACTAGTGGGAGTTCATCAGACTAAAGAGCTTCTGCAAGGCAAAAGAAACTAGAATCAAAACCAAAAGACAGGGGGCCGGCCCTGTGGCGGAGCGGTTAAGTTCGCTCGCTCCACTTTGGCAATCCAAGGTTTCGCCACTTTGGATCCTGGGCGCGGACATGGTGCCACCCATCAGGTCATGCTGAGGTGGCATCCCACATGGCACAACGAGAGGCACTCACAACTAGAATGTACGACTATGTACCAAGGGGCTTTGGGGAGAAGAAAAAGAAAAAAAAGATTGGCAATAGATGTTAGCACAGGTGCTAATCTTTAAAAAGAAAAAAAAAAAGACAACTGACTAATTGGGAGAAAACTTTTGCAAATCATATATCTGATAAGGGGTTACCCTCCATAATATATAAGGAACTCACACAGCTGAACAACAAAAAACAAACAGCCCAATCAAAAAATGGGCAGAGGATATGAACATTTTTCAAAAGAAGATATACAGATGGCCAATAAACACATGAAAAGATGTTCAATATCACTAATCATCAGGGAAATGCAGATCAAAACTACACTAAGATATCATCTTACACCTGTTAAAATGCTATTATCACTAAGACTAGAAATAACAAATGTTGGAGAGCGTGAGGAGAGAAGGGAACCCTCATACACTGCTGGTGGGAATGCAAACTGGTGCAACCACTATGGAAAACAGTATGGAGATTCCTCAAAAAACTAAAAATAGAACTACCATATGACCCAGCTATCCCACTACTGGGTATCTACCCAAACAACTGGAAATCAACAATCCAAAGCAACATATGCACCCCTATGTTCATTGCAGCGCTATTCACAATAGCCAAGACATGGAAGCAATCCAAGTGTCCACCAACCAAAGATTGGATAAAGAAGATATGGCATATATATACAATGGAATACTACTCAGGCCCCAAAAAAGACAAATTCATCCCATTTGCAAGAACCTGGAAAGACCTGGAGGGAATTATGCTAAGGGAAATAAGCCAGACTGAGAAAGACAAACATCAGATGATTTCACTCATTTGTGGAATATAAACAAGCACATGCACAAAGAAAACAGTTCAGTGATTACCAGGGGAAGGGGGGTCGGGGGTGGGCACAGGGGGTGAAGGGGAGCACCTACGTGGTGACAGACAAGAGATAATGTACAACTGAAATTTCACAATGATGTAAACTATTATGAACTCAAATGAAAAAAGAAAGAAAGAAAGAAAAATGTAGGGCTAAACTCATTGCTTCCAACCCAAGGAGCACAGATCAATCTGGAGGAAACGCAATGGCGGTGTGCCACGGGGCTGGTTTGGACCTGGCTCATTTCAATGTTTATATTAGAAATTCCAATAGAGGTGTGTAGGTCTGCTAATCAAATATAGAGATGTTATAAGATTAGAGTTCTGGCATACACAGAACAAAGATTTGTAACTACTGTGACAGGCAGGAGTGATAGGGCTATAAAACTAGCTTCTCTTCATTCGATGCCTCGATAGACCAAGCACTGTACTAAGTTTATTTCCTTTAGGTATCATTTAATTGTCATGCCTCTATGAGATCAGAAATACTGACCCACTTGACAGATGAGGAAGAAAGACTCAGAGAAACTCAGTAACTTATCCACCCTGAGCTTCCAGTCAAAGGAATCTGACCCCAAATTCACACTCTTTCCACAGTACTATGCCATCTCTCACTCTCTTCTATCATCAAAAAGAACATCGAGAGCTGCCTAATGGCATAGTGGTTAAAGTTCAGCGCTCACTGCTTCAGCCACCTGGGTTCACTTCCTGGGTGTGGAACCACAATGCTCGTCTGTCAGTAGCCATGCTGTGGTGGCGGCTCACACAGAACTAAAAGGACCTACAACTAGAAGATACAACTATGTACTGGGGCTTTGGGGAGGAAAAAGAAAAAAGGAGAGAGAGAGAGGAAGGCTGGCAACAGATGATAGCTTAGGGCTAATCTTTCCCAGCCAAAAAAACGAACATCGAAGGGGTAAATGACCTTGACACAATTCACATTAAAGTTGGAGGAGACCTGGCTTGTCAGTACTCATGACATCAAGGTCTTCTGATTTTTGCTGAACTGAAACGACAGTGATATACCTCCTGAAAAAGCACATAAAAACTTTGGTTCCATCAACAGGAGTATAGCAACCAAATCAAAGGAGCTCGCTGTCTACTGTGCACCACACCAGTCAGTGACATTAAGACAATATGACCAGTTCCAGACACTAGGCTTTTTTTTAACAGCTTTCTTGAGGTATCACTGACAGACAATAAACTACACATATTTAAAGTATACAATTTGGTAAGTTTTTTGGGTTTTTTTGAAGTTCATATTTTTATTTAATTAATAGGTTATTTCGATGTTTCAGAGGCAGGGAGAGGCTATTGGGTTGGGCCTGCAATTTATCTGTGGAATTTTTCTCTTTTTTTAGGAAGATGAGCCCTGAGCTAACATCTGCCTCCAATTCTCCTCTTTTTGCTGAGGAAGACTGGTCCTGAGCTAACATCCATGCTCATCTTCCTCTACTTCATATGTGCGATGCCTACCACAGCATGGCATGCCAAGCAGTGCCATGCCCACACCTGGGATCCAAACTGGCAAACCTGGGATCCGAACCAGTGAACCCCGGACCGCCAAAGTAGAGAGTGCAAACTTAACCGCTGTGCCACCAGGCTGACCCTGTGGGATTTTAATTAAGTAATTTTCAATTATTTTATTGGGATCATAATGGTTTATAACATTGTGTAATTTCAGGTGTACATTATTATTTATTAATTTCTGTATAGACTGCATTGTGCTCACCACCAATAGCCTAATTTTTGTCTGTCACCATATAAATGTGCCCCTTTACTCCTTTCACCCACCCCTATACCCCCTTCCCCTTGGTAACCACTAATCTGTTCTCTTTATCCATGTGTTTGTGTTCCACATACGAGTGAAATCACGCAGTGTTTGTCTTTCTCTGTCTGGCTTATTTCACTTAGCATAATACCCTCAAGCACCCGTGTACAATTTGATAAGTTTTGACACATATATAAACCTGTGAAACCATCACCAGTATCAAGTGAACATAACCATCACCCCAAAGTTTCCTCGCATCCTTCATAATCGTTCCTCCCACTCCTCCCCACCTCCACCTCCCCAAGAAACCACAAAGGTGCTTTCTGTCACTGTTGATTAGTTTGCATTTTTTAGAATTTTATATAAATGAAATCGTCCAGCACTGACTCATTATTTTTCATCTGGCCTCTTTTACTCGGTATAATTACGTTGAGATTCATCAATGTTGTCAAGCCTATCGATAGGTTTTCGTTTTTGCTGAGTAGTATTCGATTGTATGGATATACCACAGTGTGTTTATCCATTCTCTGTTGATGGACATTTGGGTTGTTTTCAGATCTTGGCTGTTACAATAAAGCTGCTATGGACATTTGCCTTGGAATGGATATATGCTTTCAATTATCTTCGGTAAATATCTTGGAGTTGAACGGTTAGGTCATGTGAAAGATGTGTGTTTAACTTTTTAAGAAACTATCGACGCCATTCCAAAGTGTCTGTAGCCCTTTACATTCCCACCAGCAGTGGAAGACTTTCAGTTGCTCCGCATCCTCGTCAGTACTTGGTATGGTCAGTCTTTTAAATTTTAGCCGTTCTAATAAGTGTGTAGTGGTCAGATCACTTTTTAAAGTGTCATATTACAAACCAAAAAGTGTATGGAAGAAAATGCTGGAAGGAGAAGAACCTAGCACCAGCATTCACAGGGAACTGGGAGGTATTTGGTTTGGAGAAAGATGGTCATCTTAAATATCTGGAAGAGAGATTAAATTTCTGTGTTGTTTTAGAAATGCACTAGAGCCAGAAGGAAAAGCTACTGAGAAAAAGATTTTGATTTATCAAAGGACTTTCTGATACAGCCTTTCAAAGGCAGAATGGGCTTTGGAGGAGGCGAGATCTCTGTCATTAGAAGTGTTCAAAGAGCAGAATTTGGAGGACTCCCCACTCGGGGATGGTCAATTCAACCCCATTCGGATCGGTTCAGCACCCACTATGCACTGTGATGGGATGGGGCGAGAGGAGACACAAGCAAACGTTATCACGCCTTTGCCTAAATAGTGTCATACGATTAGGGCTCTGGCAAAGTGACGGCGGGAGAGGGAGGAGGAGCTCCCCAGGGCAGACAACACTGACCTGGGTCACAGAAGTGAGCGGGATACTACGAAAGAATTCCTATGCTGGGTGGGAGTTTGGATTAAATGACCTTCCAGTTTTGAAGATTCTAAGATTAAAGATTAAGCTGCATTCAAAAAAAAAAAAAACACCTGGGGCCGGCTCCATGGCCGAGTGGTTAAGTTCGTGCGCTCCACTGCAGTGGCCCAGGGTTCGGATCCTGGGCACGGACATGGCACCACTCATCAGGCCACGTTGAGGCGGTGTCCCACATCCCACAACTGGAAGGACCTGCAACTAAGATATTCAACTATGTACCTGAGGGGTTTGGGAAATAAAGCAGAAAAAAAAAAAGATTGGCAACAGTTGTTAGCCCAGGTGCCAATCCTTAAAAAAAAGGAAGATTGACAACAGCTGTTAGCCCAGGTGCCAATCTTCAGGAAAAAAAAAAAGAAAACCAAATATTCAAAAAAACACACAAAAAACCCCTAAAAGTCCATCAGTGGGGGCCTGGCATTATAAATTGAGGTCCGTTCTTAGAGTGGAATAATATGCAGCTGAAATACAATCTAGGATTATCTTTACATATTAATATAGAACGATCTCCAAGATATATTAAGTTAAAAAAGCAAGGTCCAGATACTATGTGTGGTGGGCTACCATAGGGATCTTTTAGAAGGGGTCCGGTGAGGAAGAACACACACACACACACTTTTATCTGCACAACATGTCTTATCTCCGGCCTAGTAACAGAGGTTGCCTTTGAGGGGAAGTGGCTGGGAGATAGGTGTGGGAAAGAAACTATGTCTGACAGACCCTTCTGTACCCTTAGAATTTTAATGTGAAAGTGAATTACCTATTAAAAATGAAATTAAAATAAAACTAAAATCATTAAAGGCGCCTATTTCAGCATGCTGTCCTAGAGGGCCTTCCTTAGCCTTTTCCTCAGCGTCCACCTCCCTCCACTGAACAGGCCTGTGGGCATGTCTTCCCCTCAGAGGAGCCGCCCCCCCTCCCCCCGGGGAGCTTCTATTTCCTTCCTTCCTACTTCCCAAAGGCATTCAGCATCTAGGCCCACGTTTCCCAAACATCAATGTGCATACAGATCAACCTGGTATCTTGTAAAAATTCAGAATCTGACTCGGTAGCCTAGAGTGGGTCCCAAGATTCTGCATTTCTAACCAGCTCCCAGGTCACTACACTTTGATTAGGGAGCGTCTAGAGCTCTGTGAACTCCATGATGAGGCTCACGGGTTTGGCGTCAGCAGGTTCTGAGAAGCTGCCTGCTCCAGAGGAGAGCAGGGGAGGTGATGGTGGAGATTCTGACAAGGTGGGTCCATCCCTGGTCTTATCTGAGCTCTCAGCATGGCCAACAGAGTGTGAACCACTGACCATTGCCCCTGGTTTCCATTCTCATCTACCACAGTTTTGCCTGGAGAATAGACTGACTACCCCAGCTGCCTCCACTGAAGGGGTGCCCAGACAGCGGGTGGGACAAAATGGTGCCCCAAAGGGGGCTGGAGAGGAAGATGCGCTGGGCAACAGCACTGTGCACTGTACAAGGCCAGCGGGCCTAGAATTCATCAGCCAGAGAAATGCTTTTCTTCCTTCTGTGGGCTAACGGTGGCTGCGGGCCACCCCCTCTCTCACACCCTCCCTGAAAATTCAGAAGCCAAATCAAACCTCCTACAGAAAATGAAACCAGACAGCATTTGGCACAGCCTTTCTCCCTGGGTAAAAAGCAGATGTCTTGGATCCAGGTGTGGCGGGACCACCTGCTCTGGCAGAGAGCTGATGGCCCTCGGGCGGAGGTCTCCTCACTTGGCCAGGATGAGAACTGACCTGCGAACCTGGAAGTCAAGCTGCTCAAACACTCCCACCGCTCCCCTCGCCCCAGGAGACAGGATAGTTTTCCAGGCCACACACATGGGTTTCCCTGATGAGGCATTTTTCAGTATAACAAAACCCTGCTCTTGGCCTCCGCCAGAGAGAAATGAGCGTGGTGTGAGTTCTGGAGGGAAACCAATAGGCACGTGCCCTCAGGGCTGACACCGCCTCTGGCTGGAACAGCACCCTCCACCCCAGTGCCCACTGGAGCAATCCCAGGAAAGGCGCCCCCTCCCCTCACATCATTCCCACCCACTGTGACCATGCCTGAAATTGCACTATGCATGTTCACTCTTTTGGGAGGAGAAATTGCATCTCTTAAAATGTTCCCACCCACAGGAGAGGTAATGCATTAAGCCGTTATCAGTCATCCACACCTTAATGTGAATTAGTTGACCAGCCCTGGAATGTTACACCTGGAATGGGCCTAGTCCAAGCTCTCTTTTTACAAGTGAGAAAAACTGAGCCCAGAATGGAGGCAACCGCCTCAAGGTCAGGCAGCAAGGCGGCGGCCAAGTCAAGGGCAGGAAGAGGCACAAGGGATGGATTGTATACAAGTGACCAGGGTGATGAGGAGAACCTCAATGTAATCGAGAGGGCCAGGGGCATCTGCGAGCTTGCACTTTATAGACGAACTCAGAACTGTACCAAATTTTCCCCCAAGAGAAGGTAGGAGGCAGAGCCAGAAGCAGCTCCCAGCCCTGCCCCACCCTTGAGCATAAAATGTCTTTGAAGTCTCCTGTTTTATCTTAAAGTTCATTGAAATGCAACACTCTACTCCAAAATATATTCTGGCTTGTTTTCACCTAAAAATAATAGCGAGATTTATTCAGTCAGATACCCTTGTCCATTTACAGACAGGCTGAGATCAAAGTTGGGGTTTCTGGGGAGAGGACTGGATGGCTGGGTCAGGGGTGACGGGACTTCTCACTGTTTGCCCCTTGGTGGATTTTTGAATTCTGTGCCATGTGCAAATATTATCTAGTCAAAAAATTAATAAAATTTAAACTTAAAAATGTGGGTGGGTTGGGGTATATGGAAACAGGCCCTCCTGTTCTGATGGAAGGGAGCACAAACAGAAACGTCCGCCTGATGGACCATTGTGATATTTATCCAAACGTTAAATACACACACTTTTTATCCAACAATGCCTGGTCCAGGGGTCTAGCCCACACGGGGGGAGATGACGCCCAAGCCTACTCACAGTTACATGACTTGCGCTGACCCCAAGAGGCTGGTGTGACATCTAACTGGCTTTGAAGGCCTTGCCGACTCTGAGCAAAGTCCAGGAGTTACGTGTCCCACTCTCCAGTCTAGCGATCTTCTCAGATCACCTCCTGAAGAGTCGCTCAGTGTACAACAGTCAAATAGTAACAATAGCTGATGCCTACTGAGGGCTCGATCTGTGCCTGGTCGTGTTCCATAGACTGAACTCCTCGGGTTCTCACAACCACCCCCATGAACTAGCCATTATTCTCATCAGCCATGTGTGATGGATGAGGACACGAGGGTAGATTAGCGCTAACCTCGCCCAGGGCCACACTCGCCAACCTAGCAAGTGGCAGCGAGAGGATTCAAACCAGAGTCCATACTCTGAGCCTTCCCCCTATTCTGTCTGTGCAACGGCACGCGTGTACGCATCAGCTACCACTTGTTAAGCAACTCCCACGTGCTACACCCCTGTGCGAGTCACTTTGTGGTGTTTTTCCCAGGTTATCTCCACAGCCCTGCGTTGAGCGCCGGAGGGGGTGGGGGTGGGAGGGGTCACAGAAGACACCTGCCCTCAAGAAGCTGCCAACGTGTGTAAGAGGACAGAAACAATCCTTACATTTGAGCGACACTTCACAGTTGGAAAGCCCTTTCACGATCTCATTTAATCTTCTTGACAATCCTGCCAAATAATTTTCACGTTCTCTGTTCCCGGATGAGGAAACCAAAGCTCTCCAAGTCACACGGGGCAGCCCCCAAGATCATCCAGCCAGCCCGGAGAGGGGCTGGAACCTGACCTCAGGCCTCATGACTCCTCTCTGCACAGGAGAATGACACACTGCCTCGACAGCCCAGCCCGGGGGTTTCCAACCTGCTCCAACACGAGGGTTCCTTGTCCCCTTTGGAAGTTGTTGCAATCCTGTAAGTGAGAGGAGCTGTTATTTTGGGCTTCAGTCAACTGAGGAAATTCATAGTGGAAAACAACCAGGTTGAACCAGGTTCAGTACAGTCGAAAAGGAGCAGCACAGTCATACCCCAGACATAACTTAGACAGTCGGCAGACAGTATTTGGAGTACAAATAGACACAGAGACTTCTTCCAATAACTGCAGCCCATGGGCAGACAACAACTGGCTGAGCCCACACCGCCAGAGCAGTTCAGAGAACACATGTCCAGGGTGCCTCTTCTCGACCAGGGCACGGGGGGAAGAGAGCACCAAAATTCAACAGCACTGGCGGGAAGCAAAGTGGAGGAATTACTGGGAGCAAAGGAGAGTGGCCAAGGGAGACGGGTCTGAGGGGAGGCCCAAGGGGTACGTGGGTATGTTTCTACTTCTTTCGGAGGGAAAGGTTGCTTCTAGATGCCCAAGCGCATTTGAGCCGTTGGGGTAAGAAGCAGACCAGAAGTGGAAAGAGCGGTCTAGAGGGAGACAATACAGGCCCAAACCACTTATTTGATGCCTTTGGGGTCAGCTGTGTTTCATAATTCAGAATTTGGGGGATTTTAGAGAAGTAACACAGTGCCTGTGCCAAATATTTTGTAATGCCCCTCGCAGGATGCAGACAGCATCCCATGTTCAAATGCGTTAGTATTTCTGCCACGAAGTATATGGATCATCACACAGGGTGGGACTACAGACTGTAATCAGCCTTGCATTTGTGCAGGACAGGTTTTGTTGCCAAATGTGTTGTTTTTGGAGCTTTTTCAGCTTTTGGAGCTGTAGATAAGGGATTGGGACTTAAAATTAAATACGTGCCATTTTTGGCCAGCTTGCTATGTGCCGGGCACTATTTTAAACTAGTCTCTCATTCTCTCATTTAATCTTATGTCAACACTATCAGGTTATTATCCTCAATTAACAATCAAGAAAACTGAGACTCAGAGATGTTGAGTGACTTGTCCAAGGTCACTCAGCTAGTCAGCGGCAGGTCTGGGACCGAATCCCAAGTGCCTGTGACTCCAAAGCCAGTGCTCTTTCCCGAGACACCCATTCCACCACCCTCACCATTCTGTTTAGGCCACCACTCTTCAGCAAGGAGATTACCCTTCAAGAAACAAAGAGTACTGACGTCCAAGGTGGTGGGAGCGGGTTCTCGCCTCTTATTGAGTGGCCGCTCCAATACCATTCTGTTCCCCTGTGCACCCATATCCAAGCTGAACCGAACAGGCAGCCCCTCCACGCCCTGGCCTGTGTAGAAGGCCTCCATCCTTGGTGATCACTTACTCACCTTTCCAGAACCCACTCGGGGCAGGACGGGGCAGCGGGGCAGCAGTTAAGCTCATGGATGTTAGAGCTCAGAGGCCTGGGTGCACATCCCAGCTCTGCAGCAACCCCAGAGGGCATTCAACTTCTCAGGGCTTTAGTTTCCTCCCGTGTAAAATGGAAGTAATTGTACTTGCCTTGTTGCTGTTGCAAGGATTACGTGAATGAGCACATTAAGTACTAGGAACAGAGCCGTCCTGGAACAAGCACTTGCTATTATTCCTACGAAAGAGACTTTTCTGCCCCAACCAATCTCTCTCTTCTCTCCCCTGCACACTCGGCCAACCAAGCCCTTCTATCACTTCTTTCCTGCTTATTTCCCTACATATCTGTTTCAACACCTGGCACATCACAGACAGTCATTAAGTGCTGAATGAATGAAGGAAGGAAGGAAAAGCCTTTGCCTGCAAAAGCTTGTAACTCTACTATGGAGAAAGTCATCAAGGTGAAAAGAAACCATATGATCCCCATCTGCTTTTTTTTTTAAATTGTGATGGGGAAGAATGGCCCTGGGCTAACATCTGTTGCCAATCTTTCTCTTTTTTTTTTTCTCCCCAAAGCCCCAGTACAGAGCTGTATATCCTAGTTGTAGGTCATTCCAGCTCTTCTATGTGGGACGCCACCACAGCATGGCTTGATGAGCAGTGTGTAGGTCCACGCCCAGGATCCAAACTGGTGAACCCTGAGGCGCCGAAGCGGAGCACACAAACGTAACCCCTTGGCCACGGGGCCGGCCCCCTAGTTCCCCATCTTCTATAGGCATACTGTAAAATCCCAATTCCTGCAAAGCTGTGGGGAATGGGGCTTGCAAAAAGCACCTAAGTTGCAATCTCAGCCTCCCTGGAGCCGACAGTCTACACGGGCGATAGGACGTGCCCATGTGAAAACTAGCTGCAGAGCAAGGTTGTGGTACTTGCCAGGGCAGGGACAGTCAGTGCCACCGGAAGTCCAGAGCTGGGAGAGGGCAGAACAAATGGGATGAGTCACAAATGTGTGTGTCATCCTTGCTCAAGGTAAAATAGGATTGTTGGGTAACAATAGGGACAATGTCACAAGGCAGGATAAGCCAAGCACATGCCTCTGAGTGGTGGGCCCAGCCTTGCATGTGGGGTTCAGAAGAGGGACAGCGAGAGAAGGAAGGCTTTTGGCTGGTGGTCAGGGCAGGTGTGGGGAGACAGTGGGACCTGAGTCCAGTGTCAGGGTCCCTCCATGGCTCACATGGGCTCAGACACCCCCATATTCAGAGGTGGCTTCTATCTTCCCTGTGCTGACCTCCCACTGGACTGTGAGTCTCCTCGGTCTGGATCTGGGTTTCTGATAGTTTTTTTTATTATTATACAAGCAGCATGCTTAAAGAAGAAGACAAAGAAGGAGACGGAGGAGGAGAAGGGGAAGAAGGAAGAAGGAGGGATAAGGAAGAAGGAAGAAGGAAGGAGAAAAAACAGAGAATCAGGGAGGAAAAAAATAACCTATAATCTTATTGTCCCCAAAAAATCACTCAATATTTTGGTGCCTGCCCTCCCACCCACCCGCTCATCCATCCCTTATGTACCCACCCCACCCTTCAACCTACCCTTCTATCCACCTACTCATCCATTCATCCATCTGTATCAGAGTTCTTAGTTGCAAACAACAGAATCCACTCTAACAGAAACAGTAAGCTAAAGAATATTACGAGGCTTACAGAATCCAGAAGGGAAGATAGGCTCCAGGCTCAGTATTCAGGAATGACGCCCAGACCACCCAGATGTACTTTTCCAGCCAAGCCACCACAGCAGCTATTAATCAGCACAAATTCTGCAACTTGCCTCACCTCGCTCCCTTCAACAATGGTGGAAATCGAATCCTAGACCACCCCTCCCATTGCTCTAAAGGCCAGCTGCCTCCCCCAGGCCCCTTCCCCAGGACACCGGCTTCCTTAGTTTGCTCTCTTCCAAGTCAAAAATCTCATGTGGGTGCATCTGCTTGGTGGAACCTGGGTCACATGCCTACACCCTAGTCACAAGGGAGTCTGAGAAAGCAAATTTCTGGCCTTTACTTTGGAGAAGTGGGATTTACGATGTGGGGAAAACCCACAAACCTAGGAAAGTTGATCAAAAGATACTGGTGACCATAAGGCATGGCAAATGTCCCCTACACTATGCATTGTTTTTCTCCTTACAAATATAGAATGACATCAATTTAACCACTCCTGGAATCTCCAGTACCTGGCACACAGTAGGCACCAAATACATGAGGAAGGAAAGGCAGAAAGAGAAGGGAGAGATTACACATTTTCATGCCGCCTTCTTAAACCAGGCTGAATGAGCACTTTATGTTTGAGTCCATAAAATTCCAAGGCCTCTTGTGGATCGTGAAGGAAGAGGACTCCATTGCCCAGCCCAGAAGCACAAAGCGGTCCTCTCGCACCCATCAGAGACACACGGCACCTCTGCCCATGGCATGCAGCGTCTGGACCACATGGGATACTGTGTCCTGAGTAGTCACTTTCTCCGTAGCGCACCTGTTGGCCTAATGTCACTTAGGCTGTCACTGTATCTCCTCCCCTCCCCCATCCCTGAGTTTTGTGGGGTCTCTGAAGGCCAATCTCAAACAGTTGCTACAAAGGCAACATTAGAAGCCTCCCAGGGTGATAAAGATCACTGGCAGTAAATTCCAGCGAATCTGTTAAAATCTGTCTTGTTCTTCACGGGCAAGGTATGCTATCCCAGAATTACATGGGTCCTGTCTCTTAGAAATCTAGACTGTAGTTTAATTGGTAAGAGGCAAGATGCAGACTCTCTTGCTGCCAAATGAGGTAGGAAAACGTCCCTGCTCCCAGGCTTCGGGAACTACCAAGTCAGCGTAGGCTGGGCAGGACCAGGGAGGGCTGCTGAGAGAGGGTGGTGAGGGGTGAAGCAGCAAGGGTGTTGCAGCCCGGTTGCCGCTGCAAACCTGCATCCGTCCCTAACCCCAGATGGCGTATCTTAAATTCCTATAACATCACGTACCCCTCCTTATCATGGCTGGATTTCACTGTGGTGATTATCTGATGGATGTCCGCCTCCTCCACGCCACAGCGAGCTTGCCATTGTGCCCTAGGATGGCGCTGGGTGGGCAGAGGCTGGTGAGGACCAGGTCGGGGGAGGCTGCGGGGAGGGGAAGCTGAGACCCATCACAAAGACTGTCTGCAGCCTCCCCCCATCAACCCCTTTCCCCCAGGGAGGGGCAGCTGATGTGTTTCTGGAGCGTTCCAATCCAATTAGCGCCCTCCCCTGCTCCAAGGAGGAGCCCAAGCCACCACTCCCTTCCCTGAGGTGGAGATCGGTGTGTGTGTGAGGTGGGGGGGATGCTGAGGAGGTCTGAACACCCCGACCCAGCTCCTCCTGGCAGCGTGGCTGGCTCGCAGCTACAGAGGCTGCTATGACAGCGCCCGTTTCTAGGCGACTGTTCTGGGGAATGGTCTGTTTTGGCAACCAGAGGGCCCCTGGGTAAAGGGGGCTACCGGGCCGCCGCGTCATTTGCATAGCAACCTCGTCCCCGCCCGTGCTGCTCTGCGGCAGCCCAGCCCCGCGGCTCCAGCCCCTGCCCTCCGCCCAGCCCAGGCCCGCCCCGCGCCCTGCGCTGTCACCGCCGCACCGCCCCAGTCCTGCCTCTGGGGGAGGTGCACGCTGCTCGCTGAGCTAGGGCATTTCCAGAAAGACTGGCGCCCTGGGGAAGTGGGGAAATAAGGCTTGGGGACAAAACACAGAAATGGGGGAGGGCGGATGAAATAGACTCTTTTTCAAACCCGAGTCAAAGTCACATGGCTTGGTAGCATCAAAATGCATTCTGGAAAACGTGGCTGCCTCACAAAATGTTTATTGAGGTGAACCCTCGGCTAAGCCCTAAGAAGGACTCAGAAAATGTCTTTTGGATGATTAAATTGCACATGTATGTGTGAATTTGGAAATGGATAGGCCTGGGAAAGATATTTCTTACCTAGAAAAATCAGGCCGTGATATTGAGAAATATTTTCAGATACTTGCCGGATGTGACGTAGTTTTATCTGAATTTCGGAAGAAACCAAGAGAAAATAAATAGATAGATGGATAGATAACTCCTGGAGGCCCCCTCTGTCCACCCCACCCCAGCCCCGCCCGCCAGCTTGAGTCCATGACGCCAACTGTGATACCAGGCTCAGGACACGTGGACTGACATTAAAGGCCCAAGGACACATGCCCTGAGCTGGAACCCGAGAAGGGGGTTGGGCAGGGGCAGTTCACCCCAGCTGAGCGATCACATTCCCTGGCAGCTGTCCAAGGGGCAGCTCTGGCTGCACCTGTTTGTGGGGCGATTTGCTTTTATCAGTATTGACACAGCAGCAGGGCCAGGCAATAGCATAGTAATAAATAAATGAGAGAGAGAGAGAGAGGAAAAAAAAAAAGGCCGGAGCCACTGAGGTGAGGCAAAAATGCTGAGGTCTTTTTTTGCTTGTTGTATGTCAGCGCGTTCAATCCAGTTTCCCCACCCCTGAAATCTCTGAGGATCATGGAGCAGGCTTGGCTTGGGAGCTCTGGGTCTTAAAGAGATAGAACTGTGGAGTCGGAAGCACCTTAAGATCTTTTTGTGCTGGGTGTCTCTAAACAACGGATCTCAAGGTTACTTGGTATCCTCACCTGCCACTTAGAGTTCGTCAGGAATCTCAGCAGGGAGTTGGTTCCTCTCTCTGCCAAGTTTCAGCATCAGGGAGAGAATATGATTAAAGTGTAGGTTTGGGATTTAGTCAAACCTAGGATCAAATCCTGCCTCTGTCTAGCTGTGTGATTTGGGGTATGTTAACTAACCACTCTGAGCATCAGTTCCTCCCCAGAAAAATGGAGAAAATAATACTATCTATTGTAAGGATGCAAGAGATGATGTAAGCAAAGGCCCAGACTAATTCCTCAGTATTTGTTTACCTGGTTGCTATTATTACCTATGAACATCCCCTCAGGTTTCTCTAGAGGCTTTGGAGAAAATGCCAGAAAACAAAAAGCTGGGGAAACTGATCTGTTCCAGAAGTGGGAGAGGAGAAGCAAGAGCCTGACATGCTCTCTGTCCTCCAAACAGGGCCAAACGTGCCCTCTTGGTCTCTCAGCCTTGTTTCCAGTCTTCAGGGCCTGCAAACTGACTCAGCTTCGTTCTAGGACGGTACAGTACCGGAAGTGGGATGCAAACAGACCTGGTCATCAGAAGCCACCTGACCAAGCCCAGAGATCAACCACATTGGTAAAAATTACTTGCAATGAGTCACTACCGTGCTTTAGACATGGAGGGAGTTTCTCCAGGCGGCAGGCTAGTGGAGTTGCTGCAATGGCAGGTTGAACGGTCAGACCCCTGGACTCTAACCCCAGCCCTGATCTCTGCTAGTCATGTGCCCATGATAGGTTACTTAATCTCCGTAAGCTTCGCTTTCCTTATCTGTCAATTGGACTTAATAATGCCCCATTAGCTTGTTATGAGGACCCAGTGCATGAAAAGCAGGTAGTGAGTGCCAGACACAGAGAAAGTGCTTCATCTCGGTAGCACCTGCACCATTGCTGTTGGAGGAATGAGGCCAGGGCCTGTGTCATAGCATCCCTGTATCCCCACATCCTTAAACAGAGCCCAGCATTTGGTAGAGCATGGTAACGTTTGATGAATGAATGAATGGCGAGGCCCCTGCCCGCAAGAAGTTAAATCTACGCAGGAAATAGAAGACATAAACTGCCCATGCCACTCACCCGAAGGAGACAGCAGAGGGTTAAAAGCCATTCTGCCAGTCCCCAAGCCCCAGAGGCAGACAGTCCCTTTGATCCCTCAGTTTCATCTATCCAGGATGCTTTCAAGAGAGGAAAACAGGAAGTATCCCTGATAGCCCAGCTTGCTCTGTTGTTTTTTTTTTTAACGATGGGGGTGGGGGGAGAATGGTCCTTTGGGTCACATTTTGCCAGGAAATCAGCCTCCTTCCTTTCAAGTGCTGGGGCTTCCGAAGGGGCAGAGAAATTGCTGCTTGCTCAATACAGGGAGAAAGATGGAGCCCAGAAATGGCAAGGCTGACAGGTGGGAGTTCCGTAGGGGACCATGTTACAGTTACGAGGCGGCAGGTGTTTCTCTAGAGCATGCGGCCCTTTGCATTCACTCACTCACCTACTCACTGTTGACGAAGGGCCTGGCCTTGGGCTGGACCCTGGGGTGATAGCTGAGTGTCTAGTGTCCAGGGCAAGAACAGTCCCAAAAGACAAAGGACAGTAAGCTCAGAGAAGATGAGCTGAACACAGAAAAATGAGAATGCTCTAAAGGAGAGAAACAGCAGCATTATGAGAAAGCCGCTGTAGGAAAGAAAATCAGAAGAGAACAAATGAAAAAACTTGGAGAAGAGTCAGTGGATAGGAAAAAGAAAAGAGGGCTTCTAAGAATTGGCAGCCAGGGTAATAAAGGCCTCCTAATAGAATAACTGGACATGGAGTGCGTGCAAGACAGGACCCTGACCTCCAGGGACGCAGGACAACAAGAGTGGACAGAGCAGGAAGGAGAATAATAGCTTAAGACTGCAGATCTAACCCTGACCTCACCAGCCCTGAAGAGAGAGCATTTGCTGACCCTCAGTGTGCTAAACTCAGATTTATGTTTGTTTTATAAATTCAGTTTATACATTTGCCCATGACGGACACAAGAGACCTTTCTAGGAAGGTGGAAATATTCTATATCTTGATAGAAGTATAGTTTCCATGGGTGAATCCATTTGTCACTGTTCCGCAGTTAAGATTTCTGCATTTTTGATGGGTATAAATTTCATCTAAATAAAGAACTATACAAAATAACCATCAAGTGGGAGGGGCGGAGTTAGAGATGAAACAAGAAACATAATGTTGAGGACTGTCCAAGTTGGGTGAAGGATAGTGGGGGGTTCATTATTTTGTTTTGTTGATGTTGAAAATTTCTTTGAAATGTTTCATAATAAAAAAGTTTTTAAAAATTGCCCATAATATGTCACTGTTGTCCTCAAGCAAATCCTTTTCAGGTTCTCAGGAAGGCAGCTGAGACATTATCTAATCCAGTCTTCCTGTTATAGATGAGGAATTGAGGTGCACCTTGACTTGTTCAAGGCGTTCTCAGATATCAAGTGGCAGAGCTGACGCTGGAATCTCAGGCGGGAGCAGCGCCCTTTTGACCTTTTCAACTCTCACCCACTTGTAGGGAGGCAGCTGGAATTCGCCCCTTACCCTGGGTCGCCTTTCCAACCCCCAGGCCCGGGTCTTGATGCCCAGGAAGGCTGTGTGGGCTGGAGGGGGTTTCTAGCCTGCAAACCACTTTGCTCTTGTTTTTTTTGCTCCACTGTTTTCATTCTGCAAGGTAATCCTGAGATTGCAGAGGTTCAATTAGATCCCCTGGCTGCCACTTCCAGAGGCAGAAAAGGAAACCCACACAATTAAAGATTTCCAGTAGCCAAGAGTTGACACAGCAGGAGGGCAGGGCGGTGGATTCACCTCTCTTACCTCGGTTTCCCCTCATTGGTAAGAGGGAAGGAAGAGTTCAGGTTCTATTGTCTTACAGAGTTGGTGGGAAAACACTTTGAAAAGTAAAGAGCCCTACAACTGCGGTTATCAGAGAGAAGGGAGGGCAGGAGAGGGGAGGGGGGGGGGGGGGGTGGCCTTCAGCAGGAACTTCAGTCCTGTCTTTTGGGTTGTGCCTTAGAGGAAAGACTTTGGGAGTGGAGGGGATGTGACATTTATTGGTGTCTTGCCCTCTGCCAGATATTGTATTGTGCTCTCTCTACAACATCTCATTTTCCCTCAAAACACCTTACGCGGACTCAGGTACTATTATTTCGCTCATTTTACAGATGAGGAAAGAGAGGTACAGAGACCCTTCAACAGCTTACCCGAGGTCACACAGCTGGTGGGGGCAGAGCGGGGACTCAAGGCCAGGCCATCCTGGGAGGGAAGCCCACGCCTTCTTCTAGGGGCTGAGGAGGTCCCTGTCACCTGGGCATCCAACTCCCCCTCAGGAGACCTGGGCTGAGTTCCAGCTCAGCTGCTTCTTAGCCATGTGACCTGCGCTGAGTCATGTCGCCTGCTGGAGCCCCAGTCTTTTCAGCTGCACAACAGTGATAATAAAACCCCTCCGCCTACCTCACGGGGAGGATGTGAGGGTTCCGTGAAATCACTGATACTGGAGTGCTTTGAAACAGCTGCAAAGGGCGACAGGAACGAAGAGATCCCGAAGATTTCTTCAGAGAAGCGTTCCCGGATTATGGCAGGGCGACAGTCCAGCTCTTCATCTCCTCAGCTCACCCTCAGCGCCTTGAGTGTTGGAAGTCAGAACCTGGGCCTGTGCGTCTCTTCAGACATTGTTTTGGTGGAAAGCGGGGAGAGAGGCGTCACGGGTGGTACCAGCTTAGGTATTCCGCAAACAAACATTAGAGCATTGGCTGAAGGTCCTATCCCAGGCTGAATTTCAGTGAGGGCCCCTTTCTCCTGTTTGTCATAAAACAAACAGGGTTTCAGCTCCTTGGGCAGCTAGTTACAACTAGCGATCAGCCCTTGAGA